GCCGATGGTCGCTCTCCGCATGTATTAATCGAATCAGAATAAATGTCGTATATTATCGCGAAAATATTCTGGAGGGTGTACTAAATCCTTGGGCAAGCAAAAATTTTGGCACCATCGCACTCAGCAATGGCCACCAAAATCTCCCTATACCAATCCGTTGGACTTTTGTGTCTGGAGTATTTTGGAAAGCAAGGTTGGCACTAAAAATGCCAAAGTTTCGATCACCTAAAGCAAGCGCTTCGTCGGGAATGGGCCAAAATACCGCAGAGCAACATTCGGGTAGCGTGTGACGGTTTCATTGGCCGTTGGGAGGCCATAATTCCAGCCAAAGCTGACCAATTCGAACAAATCTAAACTTATTCTAATATTTCCAACATTTTTTTACCCTCCACCATAGTCTGGAGGGTATATTAAGTTTGTCATTCCGTATGTAACACCTCATCTCCGTCTGTCCTTCTGTGGAAATCACTCTAGCTTCCGAACGAATTGAAGTAGATTGATAAAATTAAACTCAAATGCATACGCTACCTCCCGATGTTCGGTATTTTGATGATTTTAGCGACAATGTTCATCGGAATTGTTTTAAATTTGGTATTTGATGTTCTTTATGGATACTACATCTTATGACTGAAAATTGTTCGTGCAGGTTCATGTCTTTGTATAGCCCTATATAACGGTACCTCCCGATATTCTGTACTTTGTTGAGTTTAGCGACATTATTCACCGGAATTCTTTAAAATTTGGTATTTGATGTACGGCCTGTGACAGGAAATTTTCTATGCAGGCCCACGTCGTCCTATAGCCCCCACATAACGGCTACTCCCGATATTCGGTATTTTGATAAATTTAGCGACATTATTGTTTCAAATTTGGTATTTGAAGTTCGAAATGGATACTACAGCCTAAGAGAGAAAACTGCCTGTGCAGGTCCACGTCTTCGTATAGCCCCCATATAACGGTACCTCCCGATATTCGGTATTTTGATGATTATTTACCGGAATTGTTTCAAATTTGGTATTTGAAGTTCGTAATGGATACTACAGCCTAAGAAGAAAATTGTCTGTACAGCTCCAGGTCTTCGTATACCACCCCCCCCCCAAAAAAAAAAAAAAAATCGGAATTTTCATGTTTTTTTTTAACATAATTCACCGATTGTTTTTCGAGTTTCGCATTTGAATATTGTAATGGCTTATTATACCCTACACCACAAGGTGGTCAGGGTATTATGTCTTTGTGCATTTGTTTGTAACAGGCAGAAGGAAACGAGATAGACCCATAGTTCCTTTTGATGATCTGCATAGAATCACATTCTGAGTCGATTTATGCATGTCCGTCCGTCCGTCTGTCCGTCCGTCCGTCTGTCCGTCCGTCCGTCTGTCCGTCCGTCCGTCTGTCCATGTATTTTTGTAAACAAAGTACAGGTCGCATTTATTGCCCGATCCAGATGAAATTTTGCAAAGGTCTTTTGTTTGGCCTAAGGACGAACCCTATTGAAATTGGAGATAATCGGTCAAAATTTGGATATAGCTCCCATATATATCTTCGTCCGATTTGACTTTTATTGTGCACCAAACGTGTAATATCAGCCCGAATTGTATGGAATTTTGCACATACACCCATATTAGGCCTGAAAATATGTATGCCAAATTTGATCGAAATCGGTTCAGATATAGCTATAGCTCCCATATATATTGTTCATCCGATTTGTTATTTTTGTCCACCGCCATCGTAATATGCACAATGCAACAACAATATTTGGGGAAATATATCAAATACAGCTCAGAAATACATTTGCTAAATTTTATCGAGATCGGTTCAGATTTGGATATAGCTCCCATATATAACATCGTCCGATTTACCTTTTATTGTGCACCAAACGTCTAATATTTGTCCAAATGGGATGGAATTTGGCACTTACGACCGAATTGAGTCTAGTAGCTAGTATGTCAAATTTGGTTCAGATCGGTTCAGATATAGTTATAGCTTCCATATATATTATTCATCCGATTTGTTATATTTGGTACCCACAACCGTAATATGCACTCCGTAACAACGATATTCAGGGAAATATATCAAATACAGCTCAGAAATATCGTTGCCAAAGTTTATCGAGATCGGTTCAGATTTGGATATAGCTCCCATATATATCTTTATCCGATTTCAAATTAATTGTGCACCAAATGGGCAATACAATTCCGAATTTAAAAGATACAAATGCTTCGGCATATTTAGTCCTTTGAACTTTAAATTATAATTATAATCATAGCGTGTATGATTAAATTCTCCCATAGAAACTTTTAATTGTTATGTGGAGCTCTACTTAATTAGCAAAGTGGTGTAGGGTATCATAAAGTCGGCGCCGCCCGACTTTAAGACTTTCTTTACTGGTTACAAAACGTGCCTATGCAGGTCCATATCGTCGTATAGCCCCTAATATAATAGCTAAATTCCGTATTTTTAAGAATTTAACAGAATTTTTAACGGATTTTATTTTTTTAAAAATTGTTAAATAAATTGGAGGGTATTCAAAGTTCGGCCCGGCCTTACAGCTTTTTTACTTGTTTTCTTTCATTTAATTAAATTTTGAATTTGTTGCAGTTTTTTTTTTATCTTACCCTGTGTGTAATTCTGTCTATGCGTTGTGCTTTGCCTGGGAAATTTTGCAGTAAATTTTTACTTAAATTATTTCATTTTTAATTAAATACGACCATTTGTTTGGTTTTTTTTTATAATATATGGATTTTATTTATTCTTTTTTAATTTTGTTTATACAGTCTTATTAACTAATCGAAACTAAACTAAGTTTAACTACCAGTTATACTAAGAAGTTATAGGAGTTTTTTTGTTTTTTATTTTGTTTCGTTTGTTTAATGTCATCGATTTTAATTAAAAATATCCCATTTATTTAATGAGAGATTTCTGTTGTTATTTAAATAATATTTTGATGATGTTTGGGTTTTTCGTAACTCAGAGTTTTTTATTGTGTTTTTATTTTGCTTTTATGTTATTTGTTTTTTATTTTATTATTATTTGTTTTTTTTTTTTTTGCGGTTTATGTTCCACATGGAACTTGTCATTGTGTCAATGTTTAATATAAATGTATGCATGTATGTACGCACCTCCGCTTCGTCTTCTCCTGTAAAATTGTAAAAATTATTAAATTTCATTTTTTTATTTAGTTTACTTGTTTTACATTAAATACTGTTGGTATATTTTGTTTTTTTTTTTTATAATTTGTTTTTATTATTGTTGAATTTTTTTATTCTGGCTGCTGTTGTTTTCCGTTTATTTATTATTAGACACATTGATAAATATTGTTTTTTTTTTTCTTTTGTAAATTTTTGGGTTTTATTGTTTGTGTTATTTATTTAGTTTTTTTTTTTTGCAATGAAAATATGACATGGCTAAAGGTCTATGGAGAATTAGTAAACAATGTATAGTTCAAGGCCATTGAATGTGTTGTATGTAAATATGTATTACAATGAAATTGAAAAAAAAAACAAATGATTTGAATTTTCTAAAAATCGTTCCTTTCAAAACAAAAAGTTGTCATAAACAAATGTGGTATTTTTAAGTCCACAACCATATGGCTACAGAAGGTATATATCATTAGATATGGAAAAAAGGTGCCTCATTATTTAGACCCTAGGTCACTTCAGACCAATCCGTTTCATGATGTATAGAGAAGATGTAGGGGTGCCCGTCCGTCTCTCTGTATGGCTGGTGCGCAACATAATGGGAGTATCCTAGCTTGATGGTCTAAGCTTGATACATGGCAATATTATTATCAAACTTAGATCGATTTCGGATATGGACAATGTCGGTCCACTTCTTCGGGTAATTCTCCCGCAAATAAAATAATTGATTTCCAAGAACATGAAAGGATCAGCCAACTTTGTACGTACTCTAATATTTCCATCAGTGCCCAGAGGGTCAAAGTAAGGCAAAGGAAATGCTCCGATATATACCATCTTTATAATAGATCTTGTGTTGATGGATATATTGAGATGTACCAAGTCTTGAATGGAATCTGATGTTAATTTCGCTTTTATGGGCTATATGGATATTCAAAATTTTGAGCCTTTGTGGGGGAGGTACCAGAAGGAGAGGACCGATAAATTCAATCTTCACAGCAGATCTTGTGTTGGTAGAAATAATGGGATGTGTGAAATAGGAAGAGAACCGGATGCTTATTTCGGATTTTATAAACGTTTTGGTTATTTAAAACTTTGACCCTTTGTGGGGGAGGTACCAGAAGGAATGGTTCGATATCTACCGCCCTTATAGCATATCCCGTATTTACTGAAATATTTAGATATGCCAAGTCTAATGGAATCGGATGATTGTTTCGCGTTTAACCAGCTTAATGAATATTCAAAATTTCAACCTTTTGTGGGGGAGGTACCAGTAGAAGTATACCGATATATTTTATCTTAGCACCAGACCTTGGGTTAATAAAACTATTGGGATTTGTGAAATTTGAAGACAATCGGACTCAAACATCGGATTTTATAAAAGTTGTAATAATTCAAAATGTTGACCCTTTGTGGGGGAGGTACTTGATAGAGTGGGCCGATATTTTCCATTTTCGCACCTGACCTAGCACTGACGCAAATATTTGGATTTGCAAGGTTGTAGCAAAAGCGCAATATCGCTTCTCTTTCCGTGCAGAAAATATATTTGTTGAAAATGTCTACCCTTTTTTAGGGAGGTACCAGAAGGAGTGGACCGATATTGCCCATTTTTAAACTCGATCTAGTTATACGATGTACCAAGTTAGGGCCAAATCGTAGAGTTATCGTGCGCATCGGAATAATTATATATTTCCCATAATTTCCGAAATAAGCATCCGATCCTCTGTAAATTTCACACACATATATATATATATATATATATATATATATATATATATATATATATATATATATATATATATATATATATATATATATATATATATATATATATATATATATATATATATATATATATATATATATATATATAAGAGATAACTATAGCTCTTATATATATGTTTCATCCGATCACGGATTTTCACCAAGTGCATCAAACTTGCTTCTAGACTGAATTAGGTCGAATGAGCCCAAAATAATTCAGGTCATTTGAACTGATATTGGCCATTTGGTGCAAAATTAACCCGAAACCGGTTAAAGATCTATGGGATTTAAATCTACATTTCAACCAATTCTCACCATTTACAATAGGATTCGTCCTTGGGCCAAACAAATGCGATCTGCTTTTCGTTCACAAAAGTACATAGCCAGACGGACGGATAGACAGGCATAAATCTACTCAGGAAGTGAGTCTATCAGGATCCTAAAAAGCAATCATGGGTCTATCTCCCTTGTTTCTCCATGTTACCAACAAACCTACAAATACATAATACCCTTACCACTATGTGATGTTGGGTGTAAACATATTTATATAAAGGGGACAATAGCTGAGGGTACACAGACAGATACTTTTCCTACTACTTTATGTTAGCTTCCCCACCAGGGACTGGATTCTTGTTCTATGAAAACATGAAATGAAAAATATTTTCTTTATACATTTTTTCATTTGACATTTGTTTCCATAATAAACGCTTTCATCTGAAATTTTCATTGAACGAGAATTGAGGCGCAGGGCTATATATATATGAACATATACTGAGAGTGACATCTATCAGCTCTTCCTATCTTTTTTTTCAATTTTACTCATATATCTCATATAGCCTAGTGTTACCGTCTCCCAAGGTTTAATTTTTTGAAGAAAAAAAGCATATTCTCTTACAGAGAGAAGAAAGTTTTTCTATTGTTCATGGAATTACTAAAGAGAAATAGATTGAAATACAATATGTTCATATTGTTCATATTCTTAAATCGATTAAATTTTTCACTTCAAGCCGAATACAACAAATTCCATACAAAATATAATTTAGAATTTTTTTTTTAACAGAAAATACTTTAACGAAATATTTATTTATTAAATACTACTGTTTAGCTTTCTAAATTAGTTTTTTTTACATTTAAATATCGATTAAACACTCAATACCATTTAATTCGAATTTCATAGTAAATCAATGTTTTTTATAAGCATAACCATAATTTTATAAAACCTTATATTTATCTGTTCATGCCCACTGAACCAAACATAAGTCTCTCTCTGCAACAATTGCTCAAAACTTTAATAAATAAATTCAAAATTCATTCATAAAATCTAAATGCAATTTAAGCCTGTGGCTTATGCTTGCCTAGAATATCAAAAATACAACAAAAACATGAACCACTTGAATTGCCAAAAACTTATACCTTAAACAAATTATTATCGACATTTATTACATTTTAGCCATGTCATATAATGCATTGAGAAAAAAAAATTAAAAACTATTTTGCCAAGGACAGTGATTTTGAATCGAAAATAAAACATTTGGAAAGGAATATAAGAAGAGGTGTTGGAACAGAAAAATCTCTTACAATAAATTTTTGAGGTTAAGTATTAAATGAATTGTATACTGAACAATAAACCATTTGTGTTCAGCAAAAATCTGGTCACCAACACATTGCCAACCAACCCCATGATATATGTATTTATTTTTTAGCCACTTAAATTCGGCTTAATAAGATTGCCACTAAAATTCTTTATATTAGTACTCACTCATAGATTTCTTGTGACCAGAAAATAACTACTTATTTCATAGGTTTGGAAATGCGGGATATACCTCAAATAAGGTCCAAAATGTTCTAGATATCAGTCGAGGTGACCATATCCATGTTACGTATGCCATGCTATAGTTTCTCTACAAATCTCCATTTTGACATAAGTATTTAAGAAGATTTAAAATTTATTGAGATTTATATGTATCGTTATATAATTTAAATTCTTATTATTTTTTTTAGGAAATATAATTATTATATTCTCAAAAGTGTTCTAAAAATCAATCGGGGTGACCCTGTTTTATGATACCTATGCCTTGCTATAGTTCCGCCAGAAATCTCCAATTTTGACATAATAATTGCAATGACACCTCAGTACTTAAGAAGATTTTCAATTTATTAAAATTTAAATGCATCCTTATTATTCCCTTAGCCATATGGCTAGAGAGGGTATATATCATTCGATAGGGCCAAAAAGTGCCTCATCGAAATAACGGTTTCAGACCCTAGGTCCCTTTGAAAAAAATCCGTTTCAGGACATTTGGAGTCGATCCAGCGATGTCTCACCGTTCGTCCGTCGGTCTGGCTGGCTGAATTGTACAGAAAAAAGGTAATTCGTGATGGAATTCGTGAGCGTGATTATGTGATTTCTTTATATTTGACTGGAAAACCACAAGTGGCTATCGTTAGGGAACTCCAGCATTTAAATGTTAATAAATCTTATGTGTCTCGTACCATCGCTCGTTACCGTGATACTGGTAGCGTAGCCCGACGTCAAGGAAGTGGACGGAAGAAAACAGCAACATCAGCAGAAATGGATCGAAAAGTAAAGAAGCGACTTGATCGAAACACGCGTCGCAGTGGCCGAGCAATGGCTCGTGAGCTGAACATATCGCAATATTCCATTCGGCAAATATTGAAAAATGAGGTCGGGGTAAAGCCTTTGGAATTCCAAAAAATGCAAAAACTTACAACAGAAAGGAAATAGACTCAAAAGAGTTAAAGAGTTGCTTCGCTTGGCCGAACGGGGTAAATTGACGAATTTGGTTTTCTCCGATGAGAAAACATTCGTTGTCCAGCATTTTGTAAACAAACAAAATGATCGTGCTTACTTACCAAAGAGGTCAGCAGAAAATGTGCACCTTCGGTTGGCCACCAGAACTTAAGCGCCAGCCATGGTGATGGTGTGGGCTGCCATAACAGCCGATGGTCGTTCTCCGCTCGTATTAATCGACCGTGGCATCAGAATAAATGCCGAATATTATCGGCAAAATATTCTGAAGGGTGTAATAAAGCCTTGGGCACGCAAACATTTTGGCCGCAGACTTCGGACATTCCAACAAGACTCAGCACCATCGCACTCAGCACACGCCACCACAGAATGGTTACAAAATGAGGTTCCTCGCTTCATTTCCAGCGCACAATGGCCACCCAAAAATCTCCGGATACCAATGCATTGGACAATTGTGTCTGAAGTATTTTAAGGCTCCCAAAGATATAGGATATTTTGCCCCAACTTTGAAAATCGTAATATTTGCATTATTGCTAGGTCAGGTGAGAAAATGGACAACGTCGGCTCACTCCATCAAGTATCTCCCCCACAATGACTCTACATTTTCAATAATTACAACTCTTACATAATGTATGAAAGCGTCCGATTTTCTTCAAATTACACACATCACAATATTTTTATTAACCGATGGTCTAGTGTGGAGATGGAATATATCTTCCCACGCCTTCTGGTATCTACCTCAAAAAGGGTCAAAATTCTTAAGAACCTAAACCATCATTAAATCCGCGATATGCATCCGGTTCTCTTTATATTTCACACGCTCCATTATTTCTGTCAACACAAGATCTGCTGTGAAGATGGGATATATCGGTTCATTCCTTCTGGTACCTCCCCCACAAAGGGTCACAATTTTCAATACTTTTATCTGTCATAACTTGCGAAACAAATCAGTGATTCTTTACAACTTGCTATATCTAAATATTTCACTCAACCAGAAACCGGAGATGAATATGGAATTTATGATTTCATATGAAATTGGATATAAATATCCGATTCTCTTTTAATTTTGTCCGTGCCAGTAATTTTATCTGTATTAGATGAAATATGAAAATTGAATACTTCCAAAAAATATCTATGTCTCCCTCGGTACCTACTCCATAGAGGGCTAACATTTTGAATAATCATAACAGAAGCCAAAATATATTTAAAGAATCGAACATTGGCTGAGGGCAATACCGACTGATACTTTTATTTATTTTTTAGAAAATATAATTATTATCTCCCAATTCAATAAAGGATGCATATATAATTTTTTCTAAATAGTATTTTACAAAGTGGATTTTGCAAGGTTTTCGAGATCATAAAAGAGACCTGCCTCATTTTGAATTAGATGAATAACAAAGGATATCCCAGAAAACCAAAATTACTCAATAAGTATGAGTAAATAGTTTTTTATTGTTTGTTTAATCTTTTTTATTTTCAAAATTTCCATTACCTCTGCAATATTTATAATAATTTTTCATTCAAAAAATCACTGACCATCTGCATATCTGTCTTTTTTTTCCATTACCATTTATGTTGTATTGATGCTTGTTTTATATATTGTACGTATATATTTGTGTGTGTGTGGGTGTTTTTTGTTGTTACTGTATATATATATATCCTTTTGTCATTGATAACGTTTTATTTCAAAACAAACGCAAAAAAAACTTGTATTTATTCTGAAACACTCAATCTCGAATAACAACATGTAAAAATCATTTCATATTTAAATCCGTAGACACATCAATTATTGAATGCTAGCAAAAGGGGGAAATAGAGAAAAAAGAAGTAGGGAAATATAATAAATTATTATGTCTTTTTTGTTGTAAAGTTAGTAATATATTAGGGTGGTTGTAAGTGAAAATTTTTAAAAATAAATAAATATAAATTGTATATAGATTTTTATTAAAAAAAACTAAAGGTTGATAATTTTTTAAGGAAAATAAAATTGTTAACGAAGACTTTCCACAAATATGAGACCTTCACAGACTGTCATGGAAGATCTTCAATAACAAATTTTTACCCTAAAACCCATATCCTTGGATTAATTTTAAACCAGTAAGGAAAAGCAAAAAGTCGGGCGGGGCCGACTATATAATACCCTATACAACTATCCATATTTCATAGAGTTAACAAAAGAATTTATGTTGAGAATTTATATATATATATATATATATATATATATATATATATATATATATATATATATATATATATATTTGATCAGCGTAAAATTCTACGTCGATTTAGCGATGTGCATCTGTATGTCTGTCGGTCTGTTATTTGAGATATAAGGTTCTTTTTCAGTAGGCAGGTTAAGTTTGTAAATGGGCCATGTAGGTCCACGTTTTCATACAGCCCCCATATAACGGTACCTCCCGATATTCGATATTTTGATGATTTTAGCGACATTATTAACCGGAATTGTTTAAAATGAGGTATTTGAAGTTCTAAATTAATAATACAGCCTGTGACAGAAAATTGTCTGTGCTGGTCCACGTCTTCATATAGCCCACATATAACAGTACCTCCCAATATTCGATATTTTGACGATTTTAGCGCCATTATTTACCGGAATTGTTTCAATTTGGTATTTGAATTTCGTAATGGATTTTACAGCCTATGACAGAAAATTGTGTATGCAGCTCTGGGTCTTCGTATAAGCCCCATATATCAGTACCTCCATATATTCGGTATTTTGACGAGTTTAGGTACAATATCCACCGAAATTGTTTGAGATGTCGCATTTGAAGTTCGTAATGGATGCTACAGCCTATAACAGAAAATTGTCTATACTGGTCCAGGTCTTCGCACAACTTCGATATAACGGTACCTCCCTATATACGATATTTTGATGATTTTAGCTACATTATTCACCGTTTATTTCAAGTTTCGAATTTGAATATGGTAATGCTTATGACAAACAATGCCTATGTAGGTCCACATCGTGTAGACCCCAAAATAACGGCTATGTTCGGTATTTTTAAAATTTTAACAGAATTTTTTAAGGATTTTATTTTTTGAAAATTTCCAAATTCGTTCCAAATGGTGGAGGGTATTCAAAGTTCGGCCCGGCTGAACTTACTGCTTTTTAACTTGTTTTGAATTAGATCATTCCACTTATAAACCCTTGGTTTTAGAGTAGTTATAATTTGGTTTCAGAAGAAAGAAATATATGGGAGAAATTTCCAACTCAGAACCGATTTTCAGCAAATTTTACGGATACGGAGACGTGCGATTCGAAAATCACTCTACTCTATAACCTGAAATCGGATAAGTGATATAAAGAGGTTCTATATCCAAATCTAAGCCGATCTCGACAAAATTTGGCAAAAGTATTTCTGAGCTCTATAAGATCTCTGATACCAAATATCATTGTTATGGATTGCATATTATGACGGTGAGGGACTTAAATAAGGGAGCTCCAGCTATATCTGAACCGATTTTGAACAAAATTTGAAGTGCTTGCTTTTAGGCTGAATTCCGCCGGAAGTGCCAAAATTAAGTCCTTTTGGGATGATATTAGCCATTTGGTGCACAAAAAATCCAGTAATAGGATAAAGATATATATGGGCGCTATATCCAAATCTCAAACGATCTTGAGAAATTTGGCAGAGGTATCTCCGACCTCTATAAGACATTGTTGTGGTGTGTATATTAAGCTTGCGAGGGACTTTAACGCCAAATCGGATGTATATTGTAGCTACAGCTACATCTGAACCGATTTCCACAAAATTTGCTGTACTTGCTTCTAGACTGAATTCGGTCGGAAGTGTTAAAATGTACACAATTTGGACTGATATTGACCATTTGGTACATAATTAACTTGAAATCGGATAAAGATAAATATGAGAGTTATATCTAAATTTGAACTGATTCCCAACAACAGGGTTCGTTTTTGGGCCAAGCAAATGATTTGTGGAAAATTTCATCTTAATCGGATAATAAATGCAACCTGCATTTTGTTTACAAAAATACACAAGACACAGGGACGGACAGACTGACTGACACGCATAAATCGACTCAGAAAGTGATTCTATGGAGATGCTCAAAAGTAACTATTGGGCTATCTCGCTTTCCTCTCCATATTACAAACAAATGCACAAAGACATAATAATACCCTTACCACTATGTGGGGTAGAGTATTAAAAAATCAATAGATAGACTTGATAGAAGTCCAACCAGAATCTCGACCAAAATAGCCTCTTTTTCTGAATCATGTTCTTTATAGATATATAGAGGTGTTTCTATAACAATAGAGTTGTTATGAAAGCAAGGCGTTTGGAATGAAATTCTATAAAAAAAACTGTTGAAGATCCTGTCATTGAAAGGAGATTTTTGTAAGATCTTCTATCCAAAGAAGTCCTGTGTTAGACATCTTCATGTAATTTTGCATTCCTTCGAAGGTGGTCCAAAGAAATTTATTTTGAAACCATTTCAGGAAGACCATTGGGAAATAAGCAAAATAGTTTTTATACCCTCAACCAAAAAAAGTATGGAGGGTATATTAAGTTCGTCATTCCGTTTGTAACTGATCGAAATAATCATTTTAGACCCAACAAAGTATATATATTCTTGATCAGCGTAAAATTCTAAGACGATTTAGCCCTTCCGTCCGTCTGTCCGTCTGTTGTAATCACGCTACAGTCTAAACGAATTAAGATATGAAGCTAAAATTTTGCACAGATCTCTCTTTTGTCTGCAGGCAGGTCAAGTTCGAAGATGGGCTATATCGGTCCACGATATCGTATAGCCCCCATATAACGGTACCGCTGATATTTGGTATTTTGATGATGTTAGCCAAATTTTTCAATGGAATTACCTGAAAATCCACAAAAGGAGTTCCTTTTGGGCATTTTACCCCCTCAAAAATAAATGTCTATATAGGTCCACGATATCGTATATCCCCCATATAACTGTACCCCCCGATATTCGGTATTTTGATGATGTTAGCCACACTTTTTAATGGAATTGTCTTAAAACCCACACAAGTAGTTCCTTGTGAGTACTTCACCCCCTGAGAGAGAATTGTCTATACAGGTCCACGATATCGTATATCCCCCATATAACGGGACCCCCCGATATTCGGTATTTTTATGATTTTGCCCACATTTTTCATCGGAATTGTCTGATAATCCACACAAGGAGTTCCTTGTGCGTACTTTATACCTCGGAAGAGAATTATCTGTATTTGTCCACGATATCGTATAGCCCTCATATAACGGAACCCCCGATATTCGGTATTTTGATGTTTTTAGCATTATTTTTCAACGAAATGGTCACAAGGGGTTCTTTGTACACAAGAGGTTCTTTGTGAGCACTTTACCCCCCGACAGAGAATTCTCTATATAGGTTAACAATAACGTATAGCTCCCATATAACGGTACCCCGCGATATTCGGTATTTTGATGATTTTAGCCACATTTACCAATCGTATTGTCTGAAAATCCACACACGGAGTTCTTTGCGAGCACTTTACCCCTGAAGCAGAATTGTCTAAATAGGTCCACAATATCGTATATCCCCCATATAGCGGTACTCCCCTATATTCGGTATTTTGATGATTTTAGCCACTTTTTCCAATGGAATTATCTGAAAATCCTCACAAGGAGTTCCTTGTGAGTACACGCAGACATAGATTTGTCATTATAGGTCCACAATATCGTATATCCCCTTATATATCGGCACCTTCCGATTTTAGGTATTTTAAAGATTTTTAAAGAATTTTTAATGGTTTTTTTTTTTTTTTTTTTTTTTTGAAAAATTTCTAATTCGTTCCAAATGGTGGAGGGTATTCAAAGTTCGGCCCAGTCGAACCTTCTGCTTTTTTACTTGTTTCATATAAAATGTGCTAAAAAGGCCAAAAAACAACATTTTCGGAGAGGGTACTGAGTCATAATTCCTTCTACGTTTTAGCCCTCTAAAATAAAAATATCTTCGAAAATTTCCCTTTTTCTTTTCAAGAAAACAGGTCTTATTTTAGCATTGACAACCTTAAACGGGTCCATCCTACAAGAAAGAGTTTCTAAAACTCTTCCACACATAAAAGTCCCCACATTGCTCCCACGTAGGCAATCCAAGCCATTATGCAGGCATAAAAATATAATTTATTGCAGATTCTTTTTTCCTTTGTTTTATTATAACACACAACAAAAATAACAACCAAAAAACAATAAATTATAAATTAAATCCATAATGGCACAAAATGAAAACATATTCTCAATATTCTCTCAAAACTCAGAGGGACTTACCATATATTTGGTTACTCTAAACTCCATCTCTCTTGCGTTTTTTTTTTTTTTTGCTTATTGGTTGGCTGGAATTAAGGGGTGAGGGGTTTTCCACTCAAAAAACCCCCAATGGTATTCCTGTATTCATGGGGATGAAGGGGTGTGGATGGCGATATAAAAAGGACGACATGCCGGGATGGCTTGGAATGTCTTGAGGGGGGACTGAGTTAATGGGTGATACGTTTTGGCGGTTTAACGACTTTTGCTATACAAACATTGAAGGTGAGTGGGTAGGTGGTGTGACGACTAGGTGTGTATGAGTGTGTGTGAGGATGATATCGATGTTGTCGTCGATGACGAATATGACATTTTGTTTTTTTTTTTCACTATTTTTCCGTTCTCCTCGTCGACAGTCAATGTAATATTTGCCCAGTGTGAGTTCTGCTACAGTACACCGATTTTAATAGCCCGTTGCATCGAACAGGTCCGGCAGTACCAAGGGCGGACAATTGTGTGGACTGCAGGTGACTCGGGGTGTGTCGTCTATGGTCGAGCCATCGATGCATATGCATTGTAAACAATTGCCGGTATCCTGGGGTAACACATCACCGATTTTATAAAGGGTACCTGCAAATGATGGCAACAAAAACAACAAACACAAGAACAACAAAGTTCGAGATTAATGTATTTTTTCAGATTTCAAATTGATGTAGTAGTACATGGATGATGACAACCAAACATACAAACAACACAAACACACACACACCCAAAAATGTCCGTTTGATGAAAATTAAGAGAGTAACTATTTTTTCTGATTAAAAATTTCCACATCATTGGTCATAGCGGAGTGAAGCGCGGAGTGGTTAAAAATATGCATGCATTGGCAAAGCAAATCCTGAACCATCCAACTGAAAATAATATTTTAAATTTTGTACCAGGAATTGGATGCAAAACATTTTCTATAATTACGAAGCAATCAAAGGAAATTGACATTTTGAAATTCAATGTGGGTGCATTTGATTGACTCATTATGTCGTTTATGGAAGAAGGAGACAATAACAAGTATTTTGAATTTATAAGCGCTATTATACAGGGTGAGATAAAAAAAAACTGCAACAAAGTCAAACGCCATAATTTTTACATTTTGTTTTTTAAGTTTTATTGAATGAAAGCAAAAAATTTCGGAAATAGCATTAACTTTCAGAATGGTTTGAATTGGTCCCCTTTGGCACGAATTGTGGCCTTCAAACGGCCAATGAAAGCATCACACGCTGTCCGAATTTTGCTCTGCGGTATTTTGGCCCATTTCCGGCGAAGTGCTTGCTTGACGTGAACGACACTTTGGTATTTTTTAGTGCCAGCCTTGCTTTCCAAAGTACTCCCGACACAACAGTCCAAGGATTGGTATCCGGAGATTTTGGTGGCCATTGTACGCTGGAAATGAAGCGAGGAACCTCATTTTGTAACCATTCTTGGCTGGCGCATGCTGAGTCCTGTTGGAATGTCCAAGGTCTGTGTCCAAGGCTTTAATACACCCTCCAGAATATTTTCGCGATAATATTCGGCATTTATTCTGATCGACAGTGGAGTCGATTAATACGAGCGGAGAGCGACGATCGGCTGTTATGGCGGCCCACAAACAATCACCATGGCCGGCGCTTGAGTTCTGGTGGGCAACCGAAGGTGCACATTTTCTGCTGACCTTTTTGACAAGTAAACACGATCATTTTGTTTGCTGGGCAACGAACAAACTGCTGTACAACCAATGTTTTCTTATCGGAGAAAACCAAATTCGGCAGATCACCATTTTCGGCCAAGCAAAGCAACTCTATTTTCTTTCTGTTGGAGAGTAAGTTCTTGCACTTTTTGGTATTTCAATGGTTTATCTCGAGCTCATTTTTCAATATTTGCCGAATGGATTATTGCAATATCTTTAGCTCAAGAGCCATTTTTCGGCCACTGCGACGCGGGTTTCGATCAAGTCGCTTCTTTACTGTTCGAACCATTTCTTATGATTTTGCTGTTTTCGCCCGTCAACTTCCTTGACGTCAGCTACGCTACCAGTATCACGATAACGAGCGATGGTACGAGACACAAAAGATTTATTCACATTTAAATCCTGGAGTGCTCTAACGATAGCCACTTGAGGTTTTCCAGCCACATATAAAACAAGTTAAAAAACAGTAAGTTCGGCCGGGCCGAACTTTGAATACCCTCCACCATTTGGAACGAATTTGGAAGTTTTCAAAAAAAAAAAAAAAATAAAGTCCTTAAAACATTCTGTTAAAATTTAAAAAATACCAAATATAGCCGATATATTGGGGTCTACACGACGTGAGCCTACACAGGTATTGTTTGTCAAAAGGCATTACCATATTCAAATTCCAAACTTGAAATAAACGGTGAATAATGTAGTTAAAATCATCAAAATATCGTATTTAGGGAGGTACCGTTATATTGGAGCTGTGCAAAGACCTGGACCTGCATAGACAATTTTCTGTCACAGGCTGTAGCATCCATTACGAACTTCAAATACCACATCTCAAACAATTTCGGTGGGCATTGTACCTAAAATCGTCAAAATACCGAATATAGAGAGGTACTAATATATGGGGCCTATACGAAGACCTGGACCTGCATAGACAATTTTCTGTCACAGACTGTAGTTCTCATTACGAACTCTAAATACGTAATTTAAAATAATTCTGGTGAATAGTGACGCTAAAATCATGAAAATGCCGAATGTTGGGACGTACCGTTATATGGGGGCTATACGAAGACGAAGACCTGCACAGGCATTTTTTTGTCTTAGGGTGTAGTATCCATTTCCAACTTCAAATATCAAATTTATCAAACAATTCCGGTGAATAATGTCGCTAAAATCATCAAAATACCGAATAGCGGGAGGTACCGGTATATGGGGGCTATACGAAGACGAAGACCTACATGGCCCATTTATGTGCAAAATTTTAGCCATCTATCTCAATTCATTCGAAAGATAGCGTGATTACAACAGACAGAGAGACGGACGAACATCACTAAATCGACTTAGAATTTTACGCTGACCAAGAATATATATACTTTGTTGGGTCTGATATGAGTATTTCGAGGAGTTACAAACGGAATGACAAAGTTATATCCTCCATAGTATAGCTGAGGGGATAAAAATCACACTATCACGCTTGAATTCCATCACGAATAACTTTTTTTCTTCTAAACAATATAATGAGCTGTCACTGAAATAATCTTAATAGCTGTCGGACGAGTAGCTCAGAAATGAGAAATGGTTGCAGTTTAGTCCATTTCCATTCCATTCACAAACGATCGTAGTTGGTATGTTTCAATTCTCATAGATTCCTCATTAAAATTGTTATAATTAGCTCTGTAATATATGAAAAGTGGTGTAGAGTATCATAAAGTCGCCCCGCCTGATATTGGACTTTCTTTACTGTTTCTTCGCGGATCGCAGTATCCGATTTGTTATATCAGTCATTGATCAGGCACGGAAGAAGATAATATCAATCCACTTCTTATTTTATTTTCGTTACAACCCTTTAGCCACTTCACAATAAATGACAAACATTTGAATATAATCTCGAGGTAATATTTTTAAAATGTTGGGATATTACATAACATATTTTCCAGTATGGTCCTACACAATTCCAAACCTTATCCATTTTGTATGTATACCGTCGCAGCATATATAACTATGTGGAAAAAGGCAACTTGTTTAATTAACACCTCATTCAGCATTATAGCTATGTGCTAAATCTATTTTGCGGCATAATCCGCCAGATTATCCCATGTCCATGCATGGCATTAAAGTCAAGTTTAAATCGTTTTTGTATGTCAGAGTCAATATTGACATTTCATCTTGTCAAACATACGTTTTTGCTTGTGTCGGGTTGGTTGGTTGTGTGTTTTAAGTCATTTTAACAGAGTCCTTGGTTGGGTTCTTTAAAAAAATAACAAGGAAGACGTTCGGATGATGATGAAATACTATCACATATGCAGAATATGTATTGCAAACCCTACAGCAACTCCGCATTTGCACGATTACAAATTCTCGAAGCAAAAAAAAACATAAAAACAGTAGGTAATGGAAAAATCAAATCCTTAAAAGGCCATAGGTCTGCACGTCCACTAATGGACAGTTTCGAGAGTGGTTTGCATGGGATTTCGTTGTCAAGTACATCCTTCTTCAAGATGACATAGAAATCTTTTCACTGTTGACCTTTTATGTGCTATCTCCTCTTAACCGGTCAGGAAAATTGTATTTACATATGACAACCTAGCCGATGTTGCCAGATGGAGTAAAAGCCCAAAAACCATTCACGATAAACAATTAATCTCAAAATGTGAATAATAGCAGGATTATACGGCTATTGGTATAAAAATTTGAGTAAGTCTATCCTTGAAGAAATTCTTTAAATAATCGTTCAATAACCCATGATTTTTGGCAGAAATTTTTTAATGATCCATTGTTTTTACCCGGAATTCCATGAAATATCAACAGGAAGTCTAAAAATATAAAAACAAGTAAGCAAAGGCTATAGTCGTGCGCGGCCGACCATGTGATATCCTACAACACTAAAATATATTAGAAGTCCTCTTACGTCCAAATCTATTTCGGAAGATTACGTTTTTGAACTGATGTCATAGAGCAATGCCCATATATTGCCCTTAGCTTTTTGAACAAGGACATTTGACCAAAATTCTGCCCAGCCCTCTCTAGCCCCATGCTAACTTCCGCGGCCGACCATGTGATATCCTACAACACTAAAATATATTAGAAGTCCTCTTACGTCCAAATCTATTTCGGAAGATTACGTTTTTGAACTGATGTCATAGAGCAATGCCCATATATTGCCCTTAGCTTTTTGAACAAGGACATTTGACCAAAATTCTGCCCAGCCCTCTCTGGCCCCATGCTAACTTCCGCGTCGATTGGTCATAGTCGGCATGAAGTTCTAAGTCGATTTAACGATGTCCGTCTGTCTGTCTGTTGAAATCACGATACAGGCCACATTATTTGACGCAGAGCGTCAAAATTTAGCAGAATAATTTGTATTGTATCTAGGATGGTTGGTATTGAAAATGAGATATATCGGTCCACGTTTTGGTATAGTCCCCATATAACGGTACATCCCGATATTCGGTATTTTGATGATTTTTACCACACTTTTTCACTGATTTGCCTGAAAACTGGTCATAATGAGTGCTAGTTCGTTTGGCGAAACATTGTGTGTACAGGTCCACGCTTTGATATAGCCCCCATATAACGGTACCTCCCGATATTCGGGATACTGATGATTTTTGCCACATTTTTTATGGCTTTGACTAAAATTTGGTATTTGTTGGTCATAATGGGTTCTAGCTCCGTTGACGAAACATAACACGTTTTTGTATATCCTAATAGCGATATGTCCCGATAATCGGTATTTTGATGATTTTTGCCACATTTTCCCACGAATATGTCTAAAAATTGGTATTTGTGGGTCATCATTGGTTCTAATGTTTCCATTACACTAAGGTGGAGGGTATTAAAATTTCGGCCCGGCCGAACCTTATGTTTATACCCTACACCACAAGGTGGCCAGGGTATTATGTCTTTGTGCACTTGTTTG